GTGGTTATATGCTCTAATTTTATATTAACTTTTTCTAATAATCGAAATTCATTTAATAATAATTGATCAGAGGGGATTATGAAAGAATCAAAATTGATATTTAAAAAGTCTGAATATTCATATCTTCAATATCATTGATGTCCGATAGCTTTTATAGATAGGTTGTTATTAAAGATTTCATCGGTTAAATATAAGATTTTAATAGATGGGATAGCGATAAAAATTAAAATGAATATTGGTCTAATTGTTCAAATAATTTCAATTGTTTGATGTTCAAGAAGAAATCGATTAATTAATTTATTGGAAATAGAGGAGATTATGATAAAAAAAATAAGGATAGTAATAAAGGTTAGAATAATTATTGTAGAATCGTGGAATATTACTATTATATCATAAGTTGGAGAATTAGAATTTTGAAGAGAAATTAATCAGGTATTAATTTTTAATAAAAGGTTAAAATCTTTATAATTGGAGTTTAAGTCCAAGGCACTAATTCTGCCATATTAAAGGTTGAAAAGTTTAATGGAAGTTGTAAATTTTTATATATGAATTATAATAAAGATAGGGATATTAGTAGATTAAATAGATGGAATTTCTGAAAATCTGTGGTTGAGAGGGGGAAATTTGCTTAATCATTCTAAAGAGGAATTTAAAAAAAATATATTAATAATAAATCGTTTTTTTGAAAGGGCTTCTCAGATAATAAAAATAAGAGTAGAAAGACTTAGAATAGAAATTAAAGAGCCGATAGATGAAATAATATTTCATGATAGGAAAGAATCAGGGTAATCTGAGTATCGTCGGGATATTCCGCTTAGACCTAAAAAATGTTGAGGGAAGAAGGTTAAGTTAACCCCAATAAATATAGAAGTTAATTGAATGTTTAAGTAAAAGTTATTTAAAGAGAAACCTGAGATTAATGGAAATCAATGGATGAATCCTGCAATAATTGAAAATACTGCACCTATGGATAGAACATAATGAAAATGAGCTACAGCATAGTAGGTATCATGAAGAATGATATCAATAGATGAGTTAGATAATATAATTCCTGTAAATCCTCCTATAAAGAATAAAAAAATGAATCCTCTAGATCATCAAAGAGTTGGATTATAGTTGATTTTTATTCCATGGAGAGTAGAGATTCATCTAAAAATTTTAATTCCTGTAGGGATAGCAATAATTATGGTAGCAGAGGTGAAGTAAGCTCGGGTGTCTACATCTAGGCTAATAGTAAATATATGATGAGCTCAAACAATAAATCCAAGAAATCCAATAGTAATTATAGCATAGATTATTCCTAAGGATCCGAAAGTTTCTTTTTTCCCTCTTTCATTTATGATAATATGAGAGATTAGACCAAATCCGGGGAGAATAAGAATATAAACTTCAGGATGACCAAAAAATCAAAATAAGTGTTGGTAAAGAATTGGGTCACCTCCTCCGGAGGGATCAAAGAAGGATGTATTTAAGTTTCGGTCTGTTAATAATATAGTAATAGCTCCGGCTAAAACTGGGAGAGATAAAAGAAGTAGGATAGCAGTGATTAGAATAGATCAGATTAAAAGGGGAATTTTATCTATAGAAATTTTTTTTTGATGCATATTTAAAATAGTGGAAATGAAGTTAATTGCACCTAAAATGGAGGATATCCCTGCAATGTGAATAGAAAAAATAGTTAAATCTATGGATGGGCCTCTATGAAATATATTTAAGATTAAAGGTGGATAAAGAGTTCAGCCTGCCCCTGTACCTGATGAAATAAGATTTCTTATGATAAGAAGGGATTATGATGGGGGCAGAAGTCAAAATCTTATATTATTTATACGTGGATAAGCTATATCGGGTGATCCAAGTATTAGGGGAACTAGGAAATTTCCGAATCCTCCAATTATAAATGGTATTACTATAAAAAAAATTATAATAAAGGCATGGCTAGTAATTAAGGAATTATAAATTTGATCATTATTAATAAGATTGCTGCATGATCCTAGTTCTAATCGAATAATTATACTTATTCCAGAGCCAATTATTCCTGATCAGATTGCTAAGATAAAGTATAAGATTCCAATATCTTTATGATTTGTTGAAAAAAATCATTTGTTCATAAGAAGATTATTGGGTAAAAATTTTAAAAATGTTATGTCTGATTAAAGCGATAAATTGTAAATTTATTTAAGAGAAGAAAAATTCTTTAACATTAATTTTTAATATTTATATGGGTTGTTAAAGAAAATTAAATAAAATAATTAGAAGAGGGAAGGGGAAAAGTATATATTATAATTTAAGAGAAAATGTTAAATTGCAAATTTAAAAATTTTAAGGGTAATTAAATGATATATTATAAAATGTAATTAGTTAAAATATGATTATAGAGAAATTTATATAAATTATAAATTATAAATAATAAAATATTAAAATTATAAAATTTATAAAAATTGATATTATTTAGTAAACTTTGAAAGTTTAAAGTTTGATTTGAATAACTTAAAATCTTAAATTAAGATTACAGTAATGGATATGATTAGAGGAAAGATTAAGTATAAATAGATATAATTATTATGGGAATTTGAATTTAAGAGTTTAGATTTTAATTTATAAAAAGATAGTGAAGAAAATAATATATTATTATAAATATATAATATAAAAAAAGATCTGAATATTATTAAAATTAATAAAATTAAAAGATTATTTGATTTTATAAATAAAAAAATTGAATATCATTTTATAAAAAATATAGTAAATGGAGGAAGTCCTGCTAAATTAAAGAGTATTATTAGAAATTATGAATTAAAATAAATAGATTTGAATGTAAAAATCTATTATTGAATTTTTTGATATTTTGAATATGTTAATGATAAAGATTATAGATATTAGAGAAATAGAGTAAAAGAGTATATATATTAGTCAAGTAATAGTTTTTATATAAATTATTAAAATTATTCATCTTGATTGATTAATTGAAGAGTAGGCTATAATTAATTTAAAATTTCTTAAATTTAAACATTTGAAAGGAGGATAGGGCGATAATAATATGTAAGATTAAAAAATTATTAATTTTAAGTAAAGATATTATATAGAATGGAGTAAATTTTAAGATTGTTAAAAAAATTAATAATAAATTTCAGGGTAAAAAATTAGAGATTATAGGAAGTCAAAAATGGAAAGGTGGAATACTAAGTTTAATTAATAGAGCTGATAATAATAAATAAAAAATATAATTATTCATAATAATAGAGTTATTAATAATGATTGTGAAGATTATTAAAAAGGAGGGAATAATTTGAATTATAAAGTATAAAAAAATAATTTTTTTATTTTTTATATAAATATTTAAAAGATAAATAAAAAGAAAGTTAATGATTTCTATATAAATAATCATAAAGTTAGGAGATCTTGAATAAATAAAGAAAAGAAAGTAAAGAAAAATAAGGAGATAAAAATAATATAATTTAAAAAGGGAAAATAAAATATTATATAAATAATTTAAATTTTAAGTTCTTAATTTTGAAAATTAATATTAATTATTAGTTAAGGATAAATATATTTAAAAATAAAAATGTTTATTTAAATAAATATTGGATGAAAGAATAAAAATGGTAAAAAATAAATAAAAATATTAAATTTTAAATTTATATTTTAATGTAAGGAGCATAAAAATTTTTGAAGTTTTTAGTAATAGTTTGATTCTATTAGATATAGGAAATAAAATATTAATAAAAATTTATTTAATCTAAATAGGAAGGAAGTTAAAATAAGTAAATTTATTTTTTTTTTTTAAAAATGAAAGTATATAATTATAAAATATACATAATTTATTTCATCAAAATAATCCTTTAGTTTCAGGCATATCATTAAAAATATTAATAAATTAAATTGTAAAAATAAATAAGAGAGGATATCTATATTTAGAGTATGAGTCTAATAGCTTAAAATTTAGCTTACTTATTTATAATATAAAATAGGAAAATAACAAAATTTTTTTTTATATATGTATATAAAATATTAATAAAGGGACATTAAGAGTCTCCATAAGTAATTTGCAATGACTTTAAAGTAAGCATTTTTATAAGAAAGAAGAAGAAATTCGAGTGAACTATATATTTACTAATTGTCTTTGATCGCAATTAACAATCTTATTGATTTCATTATTAACATTCTTCTTGATATTCATTATTTACGTTTCGGCTCTCGGTTCGAGCCATCTTCAGAATTTAACTTAATACTACAGTAAAAATGTTCGGTATCTTCTTCACTTAACACTACCAAAGATAAATGGTTTATAAATCTAACGTCAATTGAGATTCCACATGATATACAATGTTTTTTACAATTGGGAGAAGGTTTCGCTTTACCCTTCAATAACAAAAATAAAATTATATTGGAATGTATAAAAAGTGTTAAACACAGCACCGGAAAGGTGCCGATTGTCAAAAAAACAAATGTTATTAATAACACAATACCCATCTTAAATGGTATTGTGTCTGCACCCTCAACCTATGTTATGCCTTATGACAAAAGATTGACAACCATGGAGAAAAATACCAAAAATTTTATTTCCTCTCATCCGGACATTATTTATACTCGCGCGAATAAAGGCAATGCTACCGTGGCCATGTCTAGAGAATCTTACATTAACAAGATGGACACAATGCTCAATGATACAGACACATACATATTAATAAAGAAGGATCCAGTTCGCAAACTTACAACAGCGGTACGTACGTTGCTCACCAGATGGAAAAACAAAGAATATATTGATAACAAAAAATATAGATTCTTATATTGCAGTGATGGGATGTTGCCTTGTGCCTATGGTGTGCCAAAGATACACAAACAGGGTTGTCCCTTAAGAATAATAGTATCTTCCATTGGTAGCCCGTTATATCCTCTTGCCAATTTCTTACAGAACATTCTCTCTGAGTCTTTACCTACAGCTAACAGTTACATTAAGAATAGCTTTCATCTAATTGAAAAATTAAAGAATCTAAGAATCGAAGATGATTTTTCGTTAGTGTCATTAGATGCAGTATCACTGTTCACAAATGTCCCGTTAGACATAGCGATTGACTGTATAAGAGAGCAGTGGAACTGCATTACACGACAGTGCTCTATACCCAGGGAAGAATTTTTGGAAGCTGTGAAACTTGTTTTGGATTCAACCATTTTTGTTTTTGACAAAAAAATTTATAAACAATCCTTTGGCACACCCATGGGGTCACCTTTGTCACCTGTGGTCGCAGACCTCGTGATGAGGAGGTTGGAAGGGGTTGCTCTGATGTCGTTCAACAAAGACGTACCTTTCTATTATAGATATGTCGACGACATTTGTTTAGCTGTTTCCTTGTCTGACGTTGAATTATTAAAAAAAACTTTTAATGACTTCCATCCTCGTCTCCAATTCACTTTGGAGATTGGGGGAAATAAACTTGAATTTCTTGACGTTACAATTTTAAAACATAATAATGGCTTGATTTTCGACTGGTATCGCAAGCCCACGTTTTCTGGAAGATTCCTCAATTACATGTCCAACCATCCGGTATCTCAAAAGAGAGGCATGATTTTTTCGTTGGTCGACAGAGCCTTTTTACTTTCGGACGTTTGTTTTCACAATAAAAACCTTAGATTTATCATTGAAATCTTACTCAACAATGACTATCCGTTGGCATTTATATTTAACACTGTCAATCAAAGAATAAAACATTTAATAAATAACAAAATTAACGCACTGAAGAATAATAGTGAGAATGTTGAGGAATCAGCAACCTACACGTGGCTTATGGTACCTTACATTCCAACACATTCGGAAAAATTTAAAAGAATTAAATGTGACGCCATCAGAGTATCTGTTCGTAGTCCGAATAAAATTAATAAATATATCAAAGTGCAGAAAGACCCACGACACAAAGACTCTAAAAATAATGTGGTTTATGAAATTGATTGTAAAAATTGCGCAGCCACGTACGTGGGACAGACGGGCAGACAGTTGAAAACGAGAATTGCAGAACATAAAAATCATATCAGGCGAAACACAACAACTAGATCAGTTATTACCGAGCATAGGCTGGAACACAACCATGACTTTCAATGGGACAACGTAAAAATCTTAGATGAAGAGCCGTGTTATAAGAAACGCTTGATATCAGAGATGGTTAACATCAAGAAACAGACGAATAGCCTGAATTTACAAACAGACACAGAAGGACTCCACAAAGCGTACATACCAATAATAAATAAGTTATAACATTCACTAAGCTGTTAGCGATCAGTAGATTGTCGAGTCACATTGCGTGCGGACGTGTCTTTCTGTACAGATATTAAAATTCAAAATAACAGATTATGGAGAGGAAGGATAATAACTACAACGTTGTGAACAATGTAATATCTTCGCATGTGTCAGAATGATTTGCAATGAGGTGTGCCTGTTTAAAGGTATGTTATCTAACTGTGCAATGCGTGAAAATTGTAATGTTCCCTAAATCAAAATTTTATTCTCTACAGTGAACATCTATCCAACGAATTATGCAATCGATTGAGAACAGATGACATACACTTTGGATGGATCCACTGAAATGCGCGCGTTTTCTTTGTCGACCGTAGTATTAAGTTAAATTCTGAAGATGGCTCGAACCGAGAGCCGAAACGTAAATAATGAAATCATGAAGAATGTTAATAATGAAATCAAGAAGATTGTTAATTGCAACCAAAGACAATTAGTAAATATATAGTTCACTCGAATTTCTTCTTCTTTTTTACAATAATGCTTACTTTAAAGTCATTGCAACTTACTTATGGAGACTCTTAACGTCCCTTTATCAATAATTTTATA